TTTTGTTGCCAAGTTCAGTTTTGAAGTTTTTTGTAAAGTTATGCTTTACAATCATCCTGTCCATTGGCATTTCAATTTCTGGGATTTGTGCAGCCAAAGTATCAAGTTTTTTGCTATTGGTTTCAAGACCAGTCACCTTATTTGTATTTACTCTTAGAGCAGCCCTCTTCGCCTGTGATTGCACATAGATATGAAGAGGAGTGAGTTCCAGGAGTACTTCAATTGATGAAGTGGGACATGTTCTCATTGCTCCTGTTATGCTTACACATGCAAGTCGTTGTACCTTGTTGAGTGTGTTGATAACGCTTTGTTGATTTGTGCAGTTCTGCCAGACTATTGATCCGTAGGTGATCATTGGTCTGATTACTGCTGTGTATATCCATCGCAGTGACTTTGGTGTACATCCCCAATTCTTACCTGCGATGGATCTACATGTCATAAAGGCTTTGGTTGCCTTTTTTGTCACTTCTTGGATATGCGATTTCCATGTTAATTTTTGGTCTAAAATTATACCCAAAAATTTTACCTCCTTTTGTAGTTTTATTTCAAACCCATCTAAGCGGATGGGTTTAAGGTTTTTTATTTTGTATTTCTTAGTGAATAGCACAATGGTTGTTTTTGCTGGATTTATTTTCAGCCCAACCGAATTGCACCATTCTTTAGTTAGTTTTAAGCCTAACTGGATTCTTTCGCACAGAGTACTCTCATATTTTCCTCTGCAGATAATTACCACATCATCGGCGTACCCCTGGATTTGGAAGCCATTCCTGTCCAGTTTTACCAATAGTTCATCCACTACCATACTCCACATAAGGGGTGATAATACTCCACCTTGTGGGCACCCTCGCGAAGTATTTGCAAAAATATTACCATTGCTGGTCGGAATTTCTACTCTCCTGGTGCGAAGCATATTGCTCATCCAGCGTGAGAGTGTGCCATTGATTCCTCTTTTAGAAATAGTTGAGTTTATAACCTCATGTGAAGTGTTATCAAAGGCTCCTTCAATGTCTAGGAAAGCGCAAATTGCTATCTCTTTCTTATCTATGCTGTCCTGAATCGTGTTACTTAGTTGATGCAGGGCTGTTTCTGTCGACTGCCCTGCCCTATAGGCATGTTGGCGACTGTATAGTGGAGTTACTTTCAGTGTAGTATTCCTGATATAGTTATCCACAACTTTTTCTACTACTTTAAGTAGGAAGGATGTGAGGCAGATTGGTCTGAAGGATTTCGGGTGAGTAGGATCTCTTTTGCCCGCCTTCGGAATAAAGACCACTTTTGCCCTTCTCCACATGTTTGGTATGTATCCCAATGCAATACTGACTCTGGCTATTCTAGTTATTGGACCTAGTAGCTGTTCAATTCCTTTTTGAAGTAATGCCGGAAAGACACCATCAATACCTGGAGATTTCAGTGGCTTGCGCGAATTTACCGCCCACCTGATTTTAGGCATTGTGATTATATTTTTGGCGAATTTCCAATCATCCTTCTTTACTGTTTTAGGGGGTTCAGTGTGTTCTGATTCCGTCCCTAGAGTTGGAGAGGATCCTGGGAAGTGTACGTCCAGAAGTAGTTGTATCTTCTCTTCTTCACCTTCGGTGAAACTTCCATCTTCTCGCTTGAGATTTGTGGAGGTGAGGCTGCTGCTTTTTGCAAGTACCTTGTAGAGTCTTGATACCTCCGTAGTGCTTTCTATGCTTTCGCAGAATTTTTGAAAGCTTCTGCGTTTAGAGGCCCTAATTTCTCTATTGTACAAAGTAAGTTTTTTTTCCTATATTCAGACCAGTCTCCTGTTCGCTTTGAGTAGTTAAAAAGTCCTCTAACAGTGTTTCTTAGGTTTTTAAGGTCATTGTTCCACCAAGGCACATCCTTGGTGGAGTTAATCAGGCTTAATGGACAGCAATCCTCATATGCATTTAGTATGGCCCCATTAAGGTTTTCTAGGTAATTTTCTAATTGAATTTCATTCTGAATGATTTCATCTAGCCCTAATTGGACAAGATTGTCTTTCAGATTTTCCGTGTAGTTCTCCCAATTTGTTTTTCTTGGGTTCCTTAAAATTTTTTTGTTAATTGGTGAACCTTCAATGTCGAACCTTAGAATTCTATGATCAGACATAGATGGTTCACTGGATACTCTCCAGTTTTTCACAAGCTCACAACCTCGAGTATTTCCTATAGTAATATCTAGGACCTCTTTGCGTG